GAACCTCTTAGAACCTGCATTTATGCAGTTCAGTTACACAAGCAGAACGTTTGAAGTTCAGATAAGTAAAGTCAAATGTATGAATTTTCCAATACCAGTGAGAATCTAAAACACACCCAAAAAAAAGTTGGCCATTCTGATTCCTCTTAAGTAGCAGCTGTCAACACTTGAGCATAAATTTCAGCATTCAGAAGGTAATAAAAGGTATTGAAAAGGTAATAAAATGAGAGAATTAGTTTTATTTCCCCCCTCAGATGTAAGGCCCAAGCCACATCCTGTCCAGCAGAACCTACTTTAAGGGATTAACTCATTTCACCGCTTATTTTGAGATGGTATGAAGACTGTTAAATATGGTGTATGTAAGAGAGCTATTTGTCTTATTTTCCAAAGCCCCACTTAATGGCTGTGGTGCTGAAGCATTATGGACTGGTGCAGGGTATCACAGGTTGCTTACATAGCTACTGTGGTCATAATCTGGGGCACTGTGTGTTTTCCTTTCGACGAAATGGCTGTGACACTTTTCTGCAGCACTTCAGGCTGTTCATAAGACCTTAGTGTCATAAATCTGGCTGTGTCTCTGAAAAGATCTGCATTGAGGGCTATGCAGCCACTTTCCAAGTGTCAAAAAGTGTCAGAGCCTGCACAGGGAGCTGGGACACAATAATCTGAGTTTTTAGACCTCACCTGTAAGAGCAGCCTTGGCTTTGCAGGTAGTTGCAGTGGATCCAAACTGAGGACCTGCACAGCAGAGTTGTCTTTAGCTGAGCTGTTGGCTTGGCCTGTTCCTGGCTGTTGGATCACCTGTATGATGTTGACGTGGCCTCTCTTACAATTTCTTAGGCAACAGAAAAAACTGTTTTTCCCCCCCCTTAGGAGACAGAGCTCAGATGAAATCAAAAGAACGATAAAGTCTGGAGGAGAAAAAGAAGCTGCTGCTTTCCTGGTCTGCAGTTTGACAGGGCACTAAGATGTCCGTGGACATGAACAGCCAGGGCTCTGACAGCAATGAAGAGGATTATGACCCTAATTGCGAGGAGGAAGAAGAGGATGAGGATCCTGGGGATATTGAGGATTATTATGATGGGGTAGCTAACGACGTGGAGCAGCAGGGAGCAGATGCCTTTGATCCAGAGGAGTATCAGTTCACCTGCCTGACTTACAAGGAGTCGGAGAGCACTCTGAATGAACACATGGCCAGCTTGGCTGCCACATTAAAGGTGAGGAAAGGTTTGTGCATTAACACAGGTGTAAAATAATATCTGGGACCAAAAAGGCAAACGCCAAGCAGATGGTTTAAAATAACAGCTGAGGCAATATTACTGCTATTGGGGGTTAGAGGAGTATTATTGAAGATGTGTGGTTCCAAACTGGCTCAGAGGTTTACAGTTGTTGCCTACTAGTTCTGGGGCCTGGAAAAAAATCTTCCTTACTGAATCTTGATTCTTACAATTATGGTTTTTTTTACAGAGCTGAGCTGCATGACCAAAATTCCTGAATTAAAACTCTTTACATGAACATGATACAAAGAGGATATATAGAAAAGAAACAAACCAGACCATAAATGGTACAGATTGGTACACCTGTGTTTGAGAAGATAACTGATAGATAGGAAGACATGCTAAAACTCTGTAATTCTAACAAAAACATCTTTCTTTGTTGGTTCTGATAGAATAATCATAGACTTTGAAAAAGGCAGATCAGCTGTCGTGCAAGGTACTAACCCTGCTGTTGCAGTGACAGCAATTAAAGTACAATGAACTTTCCATCTCTTGTAGTGACTAACTCATCACGGAATCGTGTCAGCTCCACAGTATTATGCTCAATAAGACTTTTATGAAGTTTTCTTTCTCTATGTGCAACTGATTTACTGTAGTGCAGACTAGTATGAAGAGGAGACTCCTTCTCTACCTTCTCAATGTGCTTCAGTCCCAGTGCACGTCACAGGAAAGCAGTTTTCTAAGCTCTAGACCCTGGGTTGAAATTACCTAAGTATCTACTTTGTAACAGGTCTCGTAGTGCTTGTTTTTCTATGGAGCATCCTCTGGAAGCAGGAGAAGTGTCTGCAGCACATAAAAAAAAAACATGTTGGTTAGGTTTGGATTCCTATTTGTTTGGTCTGAATCAAACCTCATTTTTTTAAAAATGAGAGGGTCCCTTGATCCTTACTTGCACACCAGAATGTCCTGTAGAAATAGTGTAACCATAAAGCCTGAAGGAATATAAAGAGTATAAACAATAGGCTCTGAAGTGTACCCATACCTTTTCCTGCATCTCTAGCTGATTTTTGACATCTATTGTGCTTGTTCCCAGCATTCACCCCCTCAGAAAATGAAAATTTACTCTTTCTTGACTGTCAAACTTGTTTCTGTGATTTCTTCAGAATGGGCAGTTCAAGCTCTGAGTGTCTGCTCTTCCCTGCAGGTTGTAGGAAAGGGAGGCAAAAGAATAGAGCAAATAGCAAGAGTCGGTCAGTACTTTTGATCCAGCTGCCAGTTGCTCTTGCTTCTTAGCAAAGAAGTAAAGATTTAGAATGGTTTTTCTGCTCCTTACTGTTTGCCTTCAAACGAAGCATTCTTCAGAAAGGTGACCCCTGCCATATTGTTCTCTTGAATTAGTTTTTAAAAGCAATTATTTATTTAGCCTTTAAAATCAGGCTTCCAAAGTTAAAATACGTTTTCCAAGAGTTCTGAAGGTCTCATTGAGCAAATATTATAGTTGACCAGATAATACCAACCTGCTAGCTGGAATCTGGCCCCAAGTATGACCCAAGGAGATAACATTTTAGATTCCTTTTATATTAAGAATATACCTGTTAGTTTGCTGAAAGATGAATGAGATACAAATAAGTCTGGATAGAAACCTGAAAATAACTATGGTCTTGTAAGCCACATGCTAAGTGTTCAGCTGTTTAAGTGTCATGCTGGCTCTCTGTTCACTAGTAGTGGTGGAGCCAGAATTGCCCTTTTCTTGCAAGTCCATTGTGTGTCTGCAGCATGTGCATTTCGATTCCTGGCATTCTTGCTTACGATACTTCAGTAACCTTGTTTCTTCATTCCCCTCCCTTCTCCCAGAGAAACTTGTCATTTTGTTAGTTTTCAGAGACAAACTTGAGTGGAAAGAATTTATCTTGAATTTACAAGCATAGAGAAGAAGGAATGTGAAAAGAACATGTTCAACTATTTGTTGTCATTATTTTCCATTGACTTAAATGGTGTGAATAAACAGGGAGAAAGACTTTTGTAAGAACTGTGTTCTTTCCTCTAATTTGCTTGAGCTCTAAAAACTTTTTTTGTTTTCTTTTGAAGAGTTACCTTTCAAAATGTCTTGGGGTTTTTGGATAATGGTGGTTGTTTTTTTGGAGCACACTGGTTCATTTTGTTGATTTCATCTCCTCTCCCTTTTGATAGCTGGTGGTTATGTAGAGCTTTTCAGCACTAGCTTGTATTTAAGACAATGGTTGTCCCTGACAGGGGAAGATAAAGGTAAATTAAAGTCTGTCTTCAGGAAGCACAATGAGGGCAAGGCCTGACATGGTGCCTGAGCAATTTGCTATCAGAAGACATGGATATACTAATACAATTCCCTAAAGCAAAGGGAAAAAAAATGCAATAAATGGGCTCAAAACTATATTTCCATGTTCTGTCTCTGTGTGCTGTCATTGGGTGATTCACTTTCTGAAGATTAAACTGGGGAGGGAGGGGGGATTCTGAGCATGTTTTTTCTCTAATTTATTGTCTAAACACTTTTAAAACCCAAAGCAAGTCTTTAGAGCTTTAAATCCTCATACTTGCAATCTGTACTCTTATTAGCTAATAACAATCTCAATAAATAGTATTTCATTTGCTGTGCTCATTAACCTTCAACATTTGTTTTTCAACTGTTTTGTTCAGCTTAATTCAACAATCTGCTGATAGTCAAATTCCTATTTTCTTCTAAGTGTCAAGGGTAAAGGGTGATGTTCC